AGAAATGTTCCCAGATATTGCCAAATGTCCTCTGGGGAGCAAATTGTTCCCCAGTGGAAGCATCAGGCTGCAGTTTCAGACACCGGGGAGAGGCTGCTGGGAAAGAATCAGGAGCAGCAGAGATGTAGTTCCCCTGCAGACCTGAACATATCTTCAGAATATATCATCTTCCTCTGTTTAATCCCCCTGAGGCTAGACCACAGGAATGCTCTGGGAGACAATGTTGTAACACTTCAGAGTTGTGCAGTCCACGACTTTCAGGGAAAACCTGGCTCTGCCACTTGCTAGCTTTGTGACTGTGGACATGTTCATTAGCCTTTCTGTTCCACCATTTTCTCATCCATAAACAAGCCTACATCCTGGGTATATGAAATGAGACATGTGAATGCTTAGAACAGTAGTACACCACCAGTTGTCACAGGACAGCTTCCTGGGAGACTGAGCTTTGTGTGCAGGAAGTCTACTGGGGAGTGCCTTCAGGAAGCACACTTGTAGGGCACAGGAAGGAGGAAGGGGGTGTCCAGGGAGGAGCTGGGCTGCCTGTACTTGCAACCAATGCCAGGGGAGCCCAGAGCTATGGTGACCTTTGAGAGTTTGCTAAGTTGAAGAAAAGGACCAGTCTGGGAACATGGACTGGCCCCTGGGAGCAGGCTTGATGGTGGATGAGACAGTTCCTGGGGAGGGACTCAGCTGAGAACAGTCAGTGACACTCTCCTAGCTGCCAGGGAGCAAGCACTTCAGTCCTGGAAAGAGCGGGGGTTGGTTAGTCCTGAAGAGCCAGGGCAGCCCATGGTATCCACAGCATGGTGCTTACTGGCCAATATTCTGAGGCTCCATTTAAATAGAAACAAAAGTGCTTGCAAAACCCTGTGGTCTAAGTGCCCTGTGACTGTCTCCCAGCACCCTGTTTAATCTAAGCTACTTTCTCTTACTGAAAAGGGAGGTTAGGCGGAATTCAGAGAGCTGCTGTCACATCCGCCCAACCACACCACCCTTAAGGCAGAGAGAGCAGGTCCCTTGCTGTTCCATTCCTTACCTTGCTCCTCCCATGTGGTCACCTGGCCTGTGGGACTTTACTTTCTTTATAGGTGAGTTGGGAGTGGTGCTGCCTCCCCAAAGGCAGGTGTGCTGAGGGGGCGTCAGGGGCGGAGGCCGTGACTAAATGGATACTGCAGAGCAGCAGTTCTCCAAGTGTGCTCTCTGGACCATCAGGGCTGGCATCTCTATTTGGAAACTTAGAAATATGAATTCTTGGGAATAAGTCCCAGGAACTTGTGTTTTGACAAGTTTTCGTTGTTTCTGAGGCCACTCAAGTTTAAGAATTACTGGGTCTCCCCAGTGGCACAGCGGTTGAGCGCTGGGCTGTGAGGCTGCCAGCAGCCTCTGCAGTGCCGGTTCGATTCCCGGCACTGGCGAGGGTCCTACATGGTGCGACAAACCTCTCCTGTCTTGCCAGCTGCTCCCCTCAGCAGTGTATTTTGTCGGTCTGCCTGTTCTGTTCCCTGCTCTGGCTCTGGTGAATTCTCTCACCCTCCCGCGCTTCTGACTGTACCCAGTGCTTGTATAAATAAATAAATAAATAAATCTTTTAAAAAAAAAGTTTAAGAATTACTGGTGGACTGGACAGCACTTAGCTCTGACTCCTAGAAGGCACCTGGCCAACCTCAGTGGAAGTGCATCTGAATCTGAACCTGAATTTAGGTTGAGTTCAGGCACCTGTGAGCACAGTGCCACCTGTCCCTTACAGCCAGCTCTGCAGGCATGCGCAAAAATGCACACTGGGGTTGTGGACCCTTCAGCAAGGACAGCAGTGCAGGATACCAGTGCAAGACACACAGAAGTTCTGGCCTACTACTCTTCACTCTTCCTGGGAAAATTAGGTTAAATTTAACATCAAGGGCCATGAGAATTAAATGGCCCTTAAATTTAAATGGCCATGAGAATTCACCAAAATACAACAGTATGTATGTAGCGTTAATGAAAACAGCAAGAATCCTTTACTGAGGGTTTGAGCGTTAGATACGCCCAGTAGGGAAAATAAGCAGACAGATGGCAGCCCTCCTCTGCCCTGCTTATGCATGTGCTCCTACTGGGGTCACAAATAGCCTTGATGACATGGTTGCAAAACAACAATAGGGGCACCCACAGTACTAGACCAGTCATAACCCATTTGGTTACCTGGTCTGTTTGGTCTCTCCTGGGTGGGAGAACTCTATATTTCCTGGTTTATATTCTAGTGGTGTGTGTCCTGCATTTGATGGTGAGCCTCTTGCCTGTCTCCTCGGCTTATATCACCTCCACCCCCAGTGGCATTAAATTGAACTGATGGGGTTTTGTGCTACCCTTAGGAATTTGGAACAAATGCTAGAAAGATTTTAGCCAAAAGGCAGGAAGATCGTAGATAGGGTAGGTGAGAGGGGATGGAGGTACAGTGGGGGTATAAGCAGGGGCCTCTCAAAAATATACTAGGGAATGGTGGAAATTAGGGACAGGAGATATCCCTCTGCAGTGACTGAAGGGAAAAGGAACTGGAGGTCTGAGGAAGACAGACTGAAGAAAGTCTGTTCTCCAGAATGAGAAGGGCGTGTCCACAGGTAGGATACTGATCCTACTGCTGAGAGTAGCACTAGGGATAAGTGTCCTGTGGGGAGGTGGGAGATAGAAAACAGCAAGTCTAATGGGTCCCCACTCTGTGCTTAGATCCCTGCCAGGCCCTGAGAAGCTGAGCAGGGACCAGTTTTTTAACAAAACCAAACTGGAACTGCGAGGCTTTCCTCTTGGAGGAGGGCTGTCTGGGTGGGAGGGACAGGTGGTGCTGACTAGGTCTGCTCCAATGGCCCCCACAGGTGCTATTCCTTCTCACTCTCTGGTCCACACTTGGCAGACACTTGCCCCTTTAGCCTTATAGCACAGCTGAGATAGTCTGGACTATGCCTGGGTCCAGGTTCTCTGCCTGGTGTCAGTGGCCACCCATCCCAGACAGCTGACTAATGATGGACGCCAGCATTGCCTTTGAGCTTTAAGATGAAAGCACTCACAAGCTGCTGGGGGGAAGCAGAGGCGGGAAGTGTGAACAGGCAGGGGCAGGTCTGCCTGACAGCTTAGCAGTGAGGTAGCGTCTTCCCTCACTGCTCCCTGGTCCAAAGAAACCTCTATCCTACAATTGCCCATGAAGCCTCTACCCTTAAATAAGTCCAGCCGGGGGAAACCTGCTCCAACTGGGAAGATAGGGCCCTTTGTGCATGGATAGTTCCAGGCCCCAGGCTTCCAGCACTGTCTGCCCAGGGACTTGGCCCAACTGCTGCTTTGGGCTAGGCCTCACCATAGAGGTGGGGTTCTGACTTCTGGGGCTTGGACCACACCCAGGGAGTAGTGACTCCAGAAACCAAGGTGTGGCCAACCTGATCCAGGAACACCTGTGCCATCCTCAGCCACTAACATTTTCTGGCACTATAATAGCCCTGCCCTTCTCTGGCCCTCCCCCACCTCTACTCAAAAGAAAGATATAAAGTTTGGGGGACCGCCTAGTTGGAGAGGGGTGAATGGGTGGGGATGTGTACAGTTAGAAGAGAGGCAGTTCTGATAAAGCAGGTAGAATTTGGAGTCTGTGGTCTACTCACTTTTCTTTTTGGGGACTTGATCTTCTCATCAGCACAAGGGAAGGGGGAGTATTACATGACCAAGTTACTTTAGAGGACTGCCGTGTGTGAACAAGAGAACAAATGAACTTTCCAAACAGTCTAAGGTTGAGTAAGCATTGGTGGTTACCATGTCACAATTGTTGCAATTTGAGGGGGTGGGGATCTGTGGATGTGTGGATCCTGTGGATCCTGAGAGGATGTGTAAAAATGCATGTAAGGGCATCTGATGAAGTAGGGGAGTGAGGATCTATAGCTTTTGTCAGCTTCTTATAGAGAGCTGGCGCCCCACAGAGTTGAAGACCCACACACAGCCCAAGTCCATTCCCATTGGCTTTCAAATGACTTAGCTGAGACCCCCAGATCAGGTAGCTTGTCAGAAGCAGAGCCAGACGTGGGGCACTGCTCCCTGCCACACCCCCATGTCAGGTGAGCGGAGAGGATGGTTTCGAGGGGCCAGGGAGGAGAGAGCAGTCAGAGGAGGACAGGGAGTGGGGCCCGTCCTCACTGTGTTACCGGGATGAGGGTGACGCCCAACGACAGCAAAGGCCTGACAGGCTATCTCTGGAAGCACAAGTTACCGAGTAAGTGAGTCATCTTCCCAGGTTCCCTTTCCCAACAACCCCTGACAAATGACTCAGTCAGAGGTAGAGACGCAGATGCCTCTGGACATCATCTTGAGATGACTGCTCTGGTTCTCAATTCCTGCATCTGGAAAAGCTGAAGATTCCATGTAAAGGCTTTATGGAAGACTGTGAAGGGCCACAAATAAATGTGAGGTCGTCACCATCCAAAGATGCCATTTGTAGAGCAGCTAGCAAGTGCCAGGCCTGTGCTAGGTACTTTGCCTAAATCAGCACAATGTCTCCACTTCAAGAGGCCTTGGCTCACTGCCTGGTTAAAGCACATTCACTCTTCTTCTTCCCAGTTATTCTCACACTACCTGTTCCTTTCCTCCTACCACTTATTATAATGGCCTTATCCTTCCTCTCCTCCGTGACACTAACCTTGCCATGAGCAGGGGTCATGCCAGTGTGCTGATCGATGTCTATCTACTAAGCCCTATGCCTGCCGTCTAGTAGCCACTCACACACTTGTTAAATGATGCATGTCTGTCATAATCTTCGCAAGTCTTATAGGGGGGTATCATCATGTCCTTTGTATAGAAGAAGAAACTGAAGGTCAGAGAGTCAGAGACTTGCTTAAGGACACAGTTGGTTACCAACAGACTTTAAAATCCTTGAGGGATATAGGGAGTGAGGAAACTTAAAGGTCAGAAGAGAAAGTTGGGCCAGTAAAATGGCTCACCAGCTGGGCCACCACCTGCGCTCCACCTTCCCCAGCTGAGCTCTCACCCCCTCCCCACATTCCCATAGCTTGGAGTCATCAATCCACAGCCACAGAGCCAGAGACCAGACCAAACTGGCCTGTTTATTTCCCAAGCCAAGTGAGAGCCAGTTCTTCCCTGCCCAGAGCGATGTGCAGCTGGGAGTCCATGTCCCACCTCTCCAGCCTTAACGCAGCAGATAAATTAATGGACTCTCTTATAAAACAATGTCCAGGGCTAATACACACATATATAGAGCCAGTGCTGGCATTGGGTGAGGTTTGCTTCTTGAACACCAGTGACCAGATCCTGCCCCATCGGGGTACCTACCACCCTTGCACACTTTCTCTCCCCTGCTGTCCTTTTGGCTGGCTTGTCACCACTGATCATAGAGGCCTGACACTGTGCCCTAAAAGGGAACTGCTTTCTGGCTGCTCCCTAGCAGTTGCTTTCTGAGGAGCCCTGCCTTTCCTTCTTACCAAGGCAGCCTGGCTTGGTCTGGTCCCAGAAATTCAGTTATTGCCCCACAGGACCTGAAGACGGGGCACAGACTAAGGAATATTATGCCCCAATATGATTGGTGACCATGTCAGCCAAAGCCAAAATGGAGCGGCATCAAATCCACTGACAAACAGGCATAAACCCAGACTGCCCAGGCAGAGCTAGCATCGTCACCCTACTCATAGGCCCCCTGCTCCGAATGGGTCCTGTCACTCCTGACTTTCTAAAACACACTCCCCACTGGCGGCCTCTTCTCAGGCCTCTATTCCCCTCTCTGCTGCCTTCTACTCTCCAAGGCCTTCTGGTATCTTGGTTACACATTTTAAGACTCAATAATATTAGGGATCTGTAGTATCAAGATTGGGAGAGGTGTTGGGAATAATGTCTCCTCCAAATCCCATATGGAACCTGGCCATGTAAGGCCTTTAGTGTCAAGCCCTCAGGCTTTCTGGCTCCTCTGGTCCTATCCCCCAAATCATGGCTGTCTGGGAATGTCTCCCATTCTAAACTTGCCATGTCTCTCACTAAGCCTCCCTGTGGCTACGGGTCAGGGTCAGGGAGAAGTGAACCATCAACCCCCCCAGCCCTGCCTTTGGCCAACACAATGTGCTCGGATCAGGTATATCTTCTCTACGTGTGCTGCATACATCTCTCTGGTCCCCCAATGTGGTTTCTGTGCATCAGTTCTTGAGGTGGCAAATAGTCGACAAGTGGAGACTAAAGAGATCAACCTATAGCGCCCTCTACCCCCACACAGACAGGCAACCAGGGCCATCCTGGTGGGCTCCCATTCAGTTACTTCCCCACCCCTGGCTTTTAGAACCTGCTCAGTAGGTCATGCTTGTAAAACTGCTTTAAATAAGTCTTGCTAAAGCAAATAGTATCAGATAGCGGAAATTCGGGCTCCAGGTCCTCTCCTCCCTCCTTCCCCAGCCCACTCCCACCGGCAGAATGTCCACAGCCACAGCTGTGCTTTGGGAAACAGAAGCCCACCCTTGATCTTCTGGGGCCACTGCCTCTCACTCGCTGTCCGTCTGTCAGTGTCCGAGGAACAAAAACTCCTGCATGTCTGCTCAGGCTGCCTAACACCTGCCACATCCCTCCCACCCCCACAAAAACAAGTGCCAAGATTCGACCCCTTGGAGTAGAGCTGAGAGAACTCTGGGCTCAGGACGTGGCTTTCCGATGGGTCCCAGAGTAGGCGTAGGAGATGGGGTGACGGGTCCCCGGTCTGACGGTGAAGGTGTTGATGGCGCCTCCATAGTGAGGGGTGCTGTGGGGAGACCTGGCAGCAGGAAAGAAGTAAGGTTAATACCTGCAGCTGCTTAACAACAGCCCTCCCGTCTCCCGTCTCCCCCAGGGCACAACAGAAAACGAGATGGCTCAGCACTACGGGGATCTGCCCCACCAGCCCAGCGTATCAGCCCCAGGGGGGACGCTCCTCCACAAGAACTGACTCACCACTGCAGGGCTCCCCTCCCGCCTGGGCCCTGTTGGCCAATATACAGGCCTAACACCAATATACAGGCCTAACACCCAATATACAGCCTAACCCCCTAGCCTGGGTCTGGATTCATCTCTGTGGCTGGGAAATCCCAGCACCCAAGGATCACTAGATCCCTGCCACCTCACATTTAGCCTGACGCCCTGAGACGGGGCAGAGAGACAAGGGCTTGCTGGTGGAAAAGGCGAGTGTGGCGAGGAGAAGGGCGAGGGAACCTCCGGCTTTTCCTCAGCCTGCCAGCTACCAAGGCGGGAATCTTCTGACTGGTGACCACGGCCGGGTCAGCCCCTCTGTGGTCCCCGCGCAGGGCCTCCCCCTCCCCCGGCTGCACACCGCCGCCGGCCCCCGCTCACCTGCCATTGGAGGGGCCAAAAGCGTAGTCGCCGCCGCCTGACGCCTTGTACTTGGCCTCTCCTCGGGCGGCGCCCTCCAGGGATTGCCTGCGCGCGTGCAGGCCGCCGGGGGGCGCTCGGCCCGCCGAGTTGACGCGCCGCATCTCGGGGCCCCCCGGCGCGACGAAGGGCCCTCCGGGCTGCGGCCCGAAGCAGTTGGGGGTGCTCATGCTGCGGCCCGTGCCGCCGGGGGGCAGCCCGGGGCTGCGGTGTGGCTCCCCGACGTACAGCCGCTTCTTGATGAGCGAGCGACCCCCGCCCGAGAAGCGATCCAGGCCTCCGGCCCGGCCGTAGAAAGCACCCCCTGAAAAACGGGGGTAGCTGCGGGCCGCTGAGGCCGCGGGGCTCGCGTCCAGCGGCTGCCGCAAGTTGGAGAAGTTGTTCCGCGGAGGGGAGCTCCGGCGGCTCAGATACTGGAGGGCGGGGGCCGGGGGCTCGGGGTCACTGCTGAACTCTGGGGGCGGTGGGATGACGTCAAAGCTGAACTCCTGATCCTCGCCGTCCTCCTCCCTCTTGTAGGAAGGAGAAGGAGGGGACGAGAAGGACTTGGGCAGCGGGCGGCCCTGCGGGAGGCTGGAGGGAGCTGGTCTTTCCCAGGCCGCAGAGGCCTGGGCCGGGGCCTTTGGCCAGTTATGTGGGTGTCTGGGCTCTGGGTCTCTTGGAGGCTGAGGTTTCCATTGACTGGCTCCTGGGGGCTGGGCTGACAAGGCCAGCTGGGGGTCCTTCTCAGCCTCCTTAGGTACCTTGGGGACCACAGTGAAGGAGTTGGGCCGGCCTTCCTTGTAGAAGATGCTGTCAGAAGCTGCCTCTGGCTGGCGGCTGTGGCCACGGAGACTCCCTGGCAGGGAGGATGGGCCCAGGGCAGCCCCTCCAGACCTCCCTTTCTGTGCCCTCTGTCTGGCTGCGAGGAGCAGGGCCATCGGGGAGCCCCGTTCTACCACCTCCCCCGTCACCGGATGCCTGAGGAGTTCGTCAGAAGGCTGGGCTGAGGCTGAGGGTTTGGCTGGCAGCCCCTGGGGCTCCTTCACCTCCATGGGCTCCCCTACCCAAGCAGCGTCTCCTCTGGCCACAGTGGGCATAACCACAGCAACTTCTCGGCTGGGGCTGTTCTGGCTGCGATGGGTCTTGTAGAGAAATGTCCCCTCTTCTCGGCCAGGGTATATCTTGGGTGGGAGGGCTGGAGATGAGACAGCAGGTGTGGGAGAATTTCTGTCCTCTGAGGGGCGCCCTTCTGCCTCTGGCAGGGAGGGCACTGCAAGTTCTTGAGGTTCTGGTTTCTCCCATGGCCTAGTTCCCACTAGGCTCTTTCCTGTTGTCAGTTGGGACGGTGTGGTGGGCAGCGTTGTGGCAGTGGGCGATACAGCAGGTGCGGGCATGGCCTTAGGTGCCATGGCTGGCCCAGGGGTGACCTTGGGTGATGTGGCTGATTCATTCAAGGCTTTGGTTGGTATGGACGGCCCGGCTGTCACCTTGGGTGGTGTAGCTGGTCCAGTTACGGACTTGGGTGGTGTGACTGGCCCAGGTGTGGCCTTGGACTGGAGTGGTGTGGTTATATGAGGAAAAGTGGCTAGAGGTGGAGGATCCTTGGTCACAGAGTTTGCGAATTTGCCATTGTCAGTCTTGGTCACAGGGCTGGATAACTTGCCATTGTCAGCCTTGGTCACAGGGTCAGAGAATTTGCCATTGTCAGCCTTGGTCACAGGGTTGGAGAACTTGTCGTTGTCAGCCTTGGTCACATGGTTGGAGAACTTGTCGTTGTCAGCCTTGGTCACAGGGTTGGAGAACTTGCCATTGTCAGTCTTGTTTACAAAGACTCTATCCCCCTCAGACCGAGGTTTGGGAGGCAGAGACCCTATGCTGGGCTTGGTTTCCTTCTCTGCTGATGAGGAGAACCGGGCCTCCAGCTTATTCCGGATCTGCCGGACACTCGGAGTTGGGGAGTCTTGAGGGATATAGTCCACAGGGGGAAGGGTCAAGCTTGTTGTGGCCTCCCTCTCTGGTAGGTTGCAGGGACTCTTCTCAGGAACCCTTGGGGGAGTCTCCTCCTCTGGCAGGCTTGGGGGCGCCTTCTTTTCTGGTGGACTGGGGTCCTTCTTGTCCTCTTTTTCCTGAGATGCCACCGTTGGGCCTGGCCGGTGATTGACGAATCGGTCCTCTCTCCTAGAGCCACAGAGGTAGGCTGCCAGCTCGCTCCGCAGCTTTGCCATCTGGCTGGGGTCCCACAAATCCACAGGCGCTGAAGAACCCGTATCCTCTGGACTAGGGGGATCGGGTTTGGGCTGGGGCTTAGGAGCAGGAGAGCTGGGTTTGGGTTTTTTGGTAAGCATAGCAGGTGGAGGGATTACCTTCTCCGCAGAAGGCAAAGGAGGGGCAGCCGGGGGAAGGGGAGGTGCTGGGGGAGGCAGTGGGGGTGCAGGAGGAGGCAGGGGAGGAGCTGGGGGTGGAGTGTTAGCTTGTTCCTTTGTCCAGGGCTGGGACTTGTCCAGCTGTGGACTAGCTGGTGCCACAGTCCTGGGCTCCCGGGGGCCGTGTGACTCAGGGGCCTTGTCCTGGTAGACCTGCGATGCAGGACGGATGTGGAAGCTAGGGGGCAATGGAAGTCGGCTGGGGCCCTTCTTGGTGGCCCCTTCTTCCTCTGAAGGAACCTCTTGTGTTTCCTGAACTGGGATGGATGAAGACCTGACAGGGGTTGGGGGAGGCACCTTGAAGGAACGGGGGAAGGTGAGGTGGGGTTCTGGCTTAGGTCCCAGGGGGCTCCCCTTTGGCTCAGCAGGGCTCCTGGGGGGGCTGGTCCCAGAGGCTTCTGGCTGCCTGCCATTCAGTGCTACCTCTGATTTCCACTTGGTAACACCCCCAGGGGGAAAGAGGCGAGTCCCCATTGTGTGAGGAGACACTGGAACTGGGGGTGCTGGAGCTGGTAAAGGGGGTGGGGGTGGGGCTAGAATGGTCAAGGGTGGGGCAGGGGGAATGAAGTCAGGAGGGGTGGGAGTGGTTGGGGAGGAGGGAAGAGCAGATGGGGGGGATAAAGCCCCCAACATTGGGGGTGGAGGTGGGGCCGTGTTAGGTGGTGGTGGGGGTTCCAGTAGCAGGGGAGGTGGCGGAGGAGCTGTAGAAGGTGGAGGTGGTGGTGGGGACTCCTCTCGGGACTGTGAAATATCTGAGGGTGGCCCTGGAGCTGGGCCTGGAGGAGGTGGGGGGATGAGTAGGTCCTGGCCATAGTGCCCAGGCCTTAGGTCACCCACAGAACTGTACAGCCGGAGGTTGCCGTTGACTAGCGAGCCAGTACCTGGAAGAAGGGAGAAGCAAAGATGAGGACCGCAATGAGGCTGACCAGCCTTGCTGAGCTCCATGTTCCCAGAGCAAAGATGGGGAGCGTGGGTGGGGTAGGGGGCAGCCAAGAGAATAACTGGCTGGTTTCCTGCCTTTACTCCCCAATGCCAAGTGAGGGAGTAGGAATGTCTCCAGTCTCCCAAGCTGTCCTGGACTCTGCTTCTTTCTAGGGAGGCGCTCCAGCCTGCCTGACATAGCCTGGAGCCTGTACTGAATATTCCCCAGTCTCTCCCACGAGGCACACCACCCTTCTCTCTCCGCCCAGTTCTGTACCTGGACACCCATCCCTCTGGCTACAAGCTGGCTCAGTCATTGGGAGCCCCTGGCAGGAGATCAGAGGCGGGTCACAGGGTGGCAGGGACTGTGCTCCTGTCCCTTAGCACTTCTCCCCACAGCTCAGGGACATTAGCAGCCTCCACTATAGCTCCTGGGACATCACTGTCCATTTTGGTCCTCTAACCCTGCTCACCCCACTGTATGTCATCCCTGTACTATACTCTTTTCCATCATCTCTGAGTGCGCCATCTGTCCCTCACACAGACTTTGACTGGTACAAAGTCAGAAAAGCAGGGTCCAAATCCCAGCTCTGCCACTCACCAGATGTGTGCCCTGAGACACACTAATGAACCTTGCTGGGCCTCAGTTTTATCGTCTAGAAAGCGGGTATAAATAGTGTCAGTACTGGGGCCTCCCTGGTGGCACACGTGTTAAAGACAGCGCTATCAAGATATCGCCAGTCACTGCAGCACGAGTTCGATACCCAGCCGGCCAGGGAGCAACCCACATGGCACAGCAGACCTCTCCTGACTCGCCCGCTGCTCCCCTCAGCAGTGTATTTCAGTAGATCTGCCAGTTCTGCTTCCCACTCTGTCTCTAGTGAATCCTCTCACCCCCTGCAGCTCTGGCTTACACCTCAGTTCTTGTATGCATAAATAAATAAATCTTTTTTTAAAAAAATAGTGTCAGTGCTGATCTCATAAAACTATTGTGAGGATTAAAGAATTCCTGCAAACCCATGCAAAGGGCTCTCACAGTGCCAGGCCTGCAGTAGCAGCACTGAGGAATAGAACCTTTTAACTTCTACCCCTAGTGCTGAACTCTTTAGCCTGTGTAAGTGGGAAAGAGATAGGAACTCAGGGATGAGGGGCAGGGAACTAGGGACCTTCTCAGGAAATCTGGAAGGGGCAGTTTACACGAGTAACTCCTGCTTTCTAAAGACCCAGACTACCAAGAACCCAGCTTTCCTCCTCAGAGGACTTCTGGAATAGATACAGAATGTGCATGGAGTAAAAGTGTGTGCGGGTGATCTGGAAAGCCTGGGTGCTGGAGAGCAACCTGAGCCTGGGCTCACAACTGAGCAACCTGGCCTGGGCTCATATCCCTCCCTTCTTGGGCCAAGCCCCCCCAGCCCCTTCCCTAGAGTCTGCAGACAGCTAGAGGCCTGGGTATGGCTCTCTTAGGAGCTCAGTTCCCACCACAGAACCTAACAAATCTGAGGAAGGTGCAGCTCTGCAGGGCTCCACCTGGCTGCCCGACCTCCAAAGAAAGACCTGAGGGAGAGGGAGGGGGGAAACCAGCATATACTGAGCACCCAAGTGTTTGGAACAGGCCGACAGCAGTAAAAAATAAAACAAAAATCGTCAAAACCCTGGCCCTCCTGGAGCTATGTTTTAATGAGACAATGAATGTAATACATTAGTAACTTTTTACCACATCGGATGATGAGTAATAGGGGGAGAAAAAACAGAAGAGGGGTGGTAGAAGCTGTTTGAAAGTGGAGATCAGAAAGGACTCACTGAGAAGGTGACACTGGAGCAGAAAGGGAACAAGGACGGAAAGCTGTTCACTTATTCAGGAGAAGGACGTGCCAGGCAGAGAGAACTGCAGTGCAAAGATACAGAGGTGGAAACTTGTCTGGGTATAGAAGGGCAAAGAGACCGGGATGCCTGGAGCAGTGTCACATGGGAAGGGAAGCAGGAGAGGAGGCCAGATTCTGACAGTCTTTGCAAGAACCTCTGTGTGTGACACGGAAGTCATTGGTGGGTTTTGAGCAGAGGTGTGATAAGAAGTGACTTCTGTCTCATCCCATACTTCATTTACTCCTCAGGATCTAGAATCGCACACCAAATGTTTATTTGAAGATGCAAAGGTGCAAGGGTAAAGTGACTTGCCTAAGGGAACAAAATTAATATGTAGAGGAGCTGGGATTCAAAGCTAAGTCTGTCTGACTCTAGGGTTCTTTCAGGGTGCCCTGGTCCCTTCCGCCTCACTCCCCCTCATTGTAAGTGGGCCTTCACCATCTTGCTCCCCTCAACTCCTACCCTCTGTCAGTAACCTGGATGCCTGGGGACTCAACTTTATTACCAGCTGGGGAGCTAAGCTAGAGGCTTGGACCCAAGGAGTCAAGAAAGATGGACAGGGGCTTCCCCTGGTGGCGCAGCGGTTGAGCGCTGGGCTGTGAAAGCTGCCGGTTAGATTCCCTGCCACCAGCGAGGGTCCCACATGGTGCGCAGACCTCTCCTGCCGTGCCCACTGCTCCCCTCAGCAGTGTATTTCGTCAGTCTGCCTGTTCTGTTCCCTGCTCTGGCTCTGGTGAATTCTCTCACCCTCCCACGCGTCTGACTGTTCCCAGTGCTTGTTTAAATAAATAAATAAATAAATCTTTAAAAAAAAAAGAAAGAAAGAAAGAAAGAAAGATGGACAGGCCTCAATCCCAGGGTCCACTTACCTGTTACTTCTTTGTCTGCAAATTCTTCTGGGACAGAGGGGGTGGGCACAGCCAGCCCGTGGTTCTCCTGGGCATTCTGAAAGGGAGAAAGACATCAGGGAACAAGGAAAGATGGACAGCTCATTCTTGAATCGCTGCTCCTTAAGGCCATTTTGCTGCTGGAAGAGCTGAGTGACTGCAATGCTGCACAGCCGGTGGGGGGACACTAACGTGTGAAAGGGTGAATTTTATGGAGCAGCGGAGTCTTGTTATTTGCAGTAGTTATGGTCTGTAAAGTTGCTGCGACACTGAATGAGCAAATAATCGGTGCCCCCAGGGAATTTCAGGATGCGGTTCCTGTGGACCTTGGTCACAGCATTTGCCTCAACCAATTGATACATAATTTTGTCTTCTGTGTGTTCTGTTTAAAGACACCTTATTTCTTACTCGTTAACAATGAACTCCCCCAGCAGCTATCACTCATGCCCAAAGAGGCTGATCTAACGCATATTTTCTCCAGAAGGCACATCACAGCCTTCCCAAGCAGATCGTTAAATAGCACTTCAGCTGTCCACTTGGGGCCCATTTCAACAGTGAAATCATCAACAAAAGCCAAGAGACATGAAATATGTGGCACTGGAAGGACCCATTTACCAGACATGAGCTAAAGTGAGGAGGCAGAGGGCCGCCTGGTCCGAGCAGCCAGGAAGGGTGTGTCAGGGGCCTGCTTCTCCAGCCCTTTGCCGGGTACTGATTTGGGTGTTCTAAATGCTAGTGAGTAGGCAAATCAACCAATACAGAATCCGAAAATAAGGAGAATCAGCTGTCTCTGAGTTAAATCTGTTAAAAAGAACAAAACAGGGGCCTCCCTGGTTAAGACACAACCTATGAAGCTATCTGTAGCCACTGCAGCATGAATTCAGTCCCCAGCCAGGGAAGAGTCCCACAGGTGTGGCAGACGCCCGCTGCTCCCCTCAGCAGTGTATTTCAGTCAGTCTGTTCTGTTCCCTACTCTGTCTCTGGTGAATCCTCTCACCCCCAGCACCTCTGGCCTGTACTCCAGTTCTTGTATGCATAAATAAATTTTAAAAAATAAAAATAAATCTTTTTTTTTTAAAGATTTATTTATTTATACAAGAACCGGGGTACAGGCCAGATGCGCAGGAGGGTGAGAGGATTCACCAGAGCCAGAGCGGGGAACAGAACAGGCAGACTGACTGCTGAGGGGAGCAGCGGGCATGACAGAAGTCTGCTGCGCCATGTGGGAACCTCACCGGCCGGCCGGGATCGAACCAGCGCTGCAGAGGCTGCAGACACCTTCACAGCACTGCACTCAACCGCCTGTGCCACCAGGGAGGCCCCCAAAAATAAATCTTAAAAAAAAAAATCTTTTAAAAAAAAAAGAACAAAACAAGAACGAACAAAAATCTGTCCCGACCCCCATGGACGCCTGCAAGTGAAAAGACAAACCCTTTGGCCTGGTCTTTTGCTCACTCAGTTTTGTTTAGGCATTTGCAGAAAAATAAATAAAAAGTGGTGAACTAGAATACTCACAGCGCTGCAGACAACACTGTGATCGCTGGCTAAACAGACAATAATATGTTTGCACCACTGCGACTTTGTACATACTATTTTGCATTCTTTATTTCTTTTCAGAAATGCATTTCCATATGTTAACAAAGCCTACACACCTACACAAATGCACCTTCCAGGAGCATTTGATGGTCACTTCCCAGGTCCTCAATCAGCTGGCCTCGCACTTCCCAGTCAGTTTTTATTTCCCACTTAGCTGTTAGCCCCACCGCACATTCTGGCTTCCAGCCCACACTTATCATTCATGTTCATCCCGGAAGCTGGGTATTGCTCACGTTACTTGCCTCTTCCCGTCCATTACCAATCATTTCTAACAATGGAACCCTTCGTTCTGTGTGCTAAACACACTATCTCGGTCACAGCACTTTATGAAGAAGACGCTATACCCATTTGCTTGCTGAGGACAGTGAGGCTCTGAAGTTCATGGCCTGAAGTTCATGTTGTCTGAAGTTCATGGCCAAACCCTCCCACAGGCCTACCAAACCCTCCCACAGGTCTACCAAACCCTCCCACAGGTCTTTGGCTCTAAAACCTCTCATCTTCAATGATTTTCAGAGTCCTTCTGGGGGATGGTATGGAGCAGGGGCTAAAAGCACTGGCCTTGGGATCAGTCTGTCTGGATTTGAATTCCTTCTCTGCCACTTACCAGCCGTGTGACTGGGTGACTTCCTTAAACTCTCAAGAGTCTCAGTTTCCCCGTCTGTGAAATGGTGATTAAAAATAGAATCCACTCAACTCTAGGGAGGTTGGGAAGATTAAACGATGCATGTAGTAAAAGCGCAGTAAATGTCAGCTGTTGTCATTACCAGGAGGTCACCCCTCATGTGCCCCAGCCCACACTGGCCTACTGCTGCTCAGGACAACTGCGGCCAAGCCCCACAAAAGGCCACACTCATTTGCTCTCTAGCTGGCCCCCCTCATTCTTCCACTGTAGTCTGGTTGCCATTGGGAGCCCAGAGACCAGATCTGATGAGAATACCCCAAATGGGCCACACAGTAAGCCAAGTTGTTACTGATGGATGGGGGTGCTAACTCTCTCAGCTTAATAGGCTGTGACACAAGTCAGGATTCATTGTAGATGTTTCTGCGAGATCCACAGACCCTGGGCCACCAAGGGCCAGTTTAGGATTACTTCCGTCATTTGCGGGCAACAAATAACTCATCATCTTGCTTTTAAAGAATTCTGAAGCTGCACAGACCTTGAGCCATTATCTTTTTTTGCTTCTTAGCCTTTTCTTCTGCCTCTACTTGGTTGACTGACATGGCCAACACCCCTTGTTCTTTACATCTCCTGACCCTGGGATTCTGAACCAGAGATTAGGACAGGTGTGTGTTCTAAGACATTATGAGATGAAGCATGCACACACACGCACACACACTCACACCACTGATGGGCTAATATCCTCCGTCCAGTATGCATAATCTGATTTTGGTGAGACAGAGTCCAGGCCTTCAGAAGCCAGGGATGGGGCCTCTGATTACTCCTTTGAATATAAGTGGATCACAGAAAGTCTTGGGGACTGAACATCGAGTCTTGAATTCTATTCTGAATTTTGCCAAGGGTGGTGATGGTGATGTCAAACAGTCACTGCTGCACCTACTGCATGCCAGCACCGGACCTTAACAGGGCCAGGTGCAAACCTAGGTCTCCTGACTTATCTTTACTCCACACCATCAGGACCCATGTTCTTCACTGATGAAACAGAGGGAATATTTTCTACATTGCAGGGCCATAAGGAGGATCAAATGAGGTAAAATTCTTAACCCAGGAAATCACTGGGTTGTTTTTTTTTTTAAAGATTTATTATTTATTTATGCATACAAGAACTGGGGTTTAAGCCAGAGGTGCAGAAGTTGAGAGGATTCACCAGAGAGAGTGGGGAGCAGAACAAGCAGATCTACTGAAATACACTGCTGAGGGCAGCAGCAGGCAAGACAGGAGAGGTCTGCTGTGCCATGTGGGTTGCTCCCTGGCCGGCTGGGGAAGGAGATGGAACTCCTGCTGCTGCAGCTGGTGATAGCTTAATAGCACTGTCTTTAACCCCTGTGCCACCAGGGAGGCACCCAAGAAATCATTGTTAATTGAAGGATTAACTCTTCCAATCCTCTCACTCACAAAGGTGAAAAAGTAGTGAACAATCAAAGCTCAGCTGCCTGGAATCCTAGAAGTACCCCGGTCACCCTGAGTGCTCCCATATAATTATGTTTGGGAGAGGAAGATGGGCAGACTTTATGGGCGAGCAGCAACACTATCCACCCGCCCTTTGATCTTATAGCTCTGGAAATGCATCAGACAACCATGAGCATAGAATGCAAGTCTGTCTCCTGAGTGGGCCTGGAACTGAAGCTCAGGCTTTTCATCTCCCCTCCCCCACTACACCCAGTGGGGTTCCAGGACACACACCCACAACTTTACCAGGTCCAGAGCTCTGCTGGCCACCACCAAGGAGCAGATCTCAAAGTTGCTCCTTATCCCTCAGAGTCAGTCCTGAACCGAACATAGTCCACGCCCCAGTTGGCTCCGACCTTCCCACTCATGCCCACAAGGGCGCCACTCACTTCACTGGCCCCCACACTAGCGTCCATTCAGGGAAGGCAAATACAGACTCATTTTAATCTTAGTCCTAGAAAAACAGACCTGGAAAGTGAGGCGCTCTCCTTGCTCCTCAGGGGGACCCAGCAGCTGGCATCAAGTGGCGCATATCAGTGTGCAAATGCACAGGTGTAGACAGCATCCATCTCCATGGCACTGAGTTTGCTAACCTGACTCCCCGAGCCCCAGAGAACTGAAGAAAAGCCTCCCCAGGAAGAAGGCATGGGAGTGACCTCGAAATGCCACACAAAATCCCGAACTTGGTCCTGAAACGGGAGTGGAGTGTCAGGAAAGACACTGATGGGATAATTGGCAATATCTGAATATAAAGGGTGTTTTAGATAATAGTATAATATCAATCGCCAGTCCCTGACTTTGCACAGGGAAGGTCTCTGTTCTTAGGTACCGCACCCTGAGGAATGCAGGAGCGCAGGGACAGGGCCATCTCAGCTTACTCTCAGCGGGTCAGGGGCCGAAGAAACAATACAAATATGTCAAGCAAGAGAGCAGCAAATAAAGCCACAGTACAGACTGGTGAACCTGGGTGAAAGCACCGGGGAGTTCTTTGTGCTGTTTGTGCAACGCCTCTCGCATTAGAGTGGTTAAAAAGAGGCTATTTAATGCCACTGAGCTGTATAGTTTAAAATGGTAAGTTTTATGATATGTGTATCTTTCAGTTAAAAAAAAGTTACACAAACAAAAGACATGGACATCAAAAGAGAAGGTGTGGAGGAAGACTCAGAGTTCATCCAGCCACAGGCAGCAGCGCCTCCTCGCCAGAGCAGCCCGATCCTCCCCGCTGCCACCTCCCTGGCACTTTTTCTGCGCTGGGATTCTTCGGGAGTTTCAACTCTTGTCTCATTTAGTTTTCACAACAACCTGATGAGATAGGTGCTGTTATTGCTACCTCC